ATTGGTTTTTCTCACTTCTTACCCTCAAAACACAACATTTCCCAATTTTTCTCTAAACCTTCTTAAAGAGCTTAAAAAAACAAACAATTCAGTATATAAAAGTGTTTTTGTACGGTTATTGGTTACGGAGAAAACTAAAAAAATGGTAAATTTAAAATTCCCATGTTATTCTTATGGATAATATTGTAAAATGTTGTAGTTTGTTTGTTTATGGATATATTTTGATCAAACTTGGCAAATTTATTTATTTTATAGTAAGCTATCAATATTTTACTAAAAACACACTACTTTATTAGTTTCCTTGTAGCAGCAAACCTAGGTACTCGTTAAACCTAATAATGTTATTTAAATAGATCAATTGAAAATCAATTCGGCCAAATGGAAATTCGCTTAGACGGCAGGTTTGCTGCGGCGGGGGTATTTTAATCAGTTCCATCGTCCATTGCCTTTACATATTGCACACTTACCATTAAGTAAACATAGTTACAGATATTTCATTGATTTTAGAAACAAAGGAACACAGTGCACTGCTTAGTTTTATGATATTTTCCTTGGTTTAATTTAATCAGTGGTGTGGCAAAACACAAATAATAAATTTATCAAATAAAGTAAATGTGAACTGAAAGCCTGAAAGCTATGTTAAGATAAAATAAGAGTTTTTTGTATTACCATTTGAAAATTAATTATAGTTACACAATACAGTAGCCTATATACAACAGATTTTAAAAACAAAAATCAACGACGTACAATTTAGTTATTGATGATATTCTTTAGTTTAATTTAATCATAGGTTTAGCAAAACACAATAACTTAATTTACCATATATATATATATACAGGCTTAGTAAAAAGTGTGGAGACCCCCTGTTATTTTTTTAACGGCCCATACTAGAAAAACTAAACTCGGCAACCATTATGGCATGTTATGAAGTACTTTTTGGGGATAACCGCCACTTGGTGTTCATCCCCAAAATGAGGGATTTTGGGGGAAACTCAAAAATTTCAAACACAGACCCATCGAGTGACCCCTCATTTTGAAGGTCCTGGTAAAAGAAAACCAACAACGCAAATTAGAGGTCTCTATCGCAGTTCAGTAAAAAAATGGCAGCCAATTGAAATTCTCATAAGTTCCCAAACCCAAAATGGGGGATTTGGGGGGAAACTAAAAAATTTCAAACGATAAGCCCCATCGAGTGACCCCTCATTTTGAAGGTCATAATAAAAGAAAACTAACAACGCAAACTAGAGGTCTCTATCTTAACACAGTAAAATATGGCAGCCAATTAAATATAAAATTGCAAGTTATTTCCGATTTCTAAAAATTTCAATCAGCTTCCATTTTTTACTGGATTGAGATAGAAACCTCTAGTTTGCGTTGTTAGTTTTCTTTTATCAGGACCTTCAAAATGAGGGGTCACTCGATGGGACTTATTATTTAAAACTTTTGAGTTTCCCCCAAAATCCCCCATTTTGGGTTTGGTAAGCAAGTGGCTATTAGGCTTAAAAAATACTTCATAACATGCCAAAAAGGTGTGTAGAGTTTAGTTTTCCTAGTGTGAGCCGCTACAAAATTTACAGAGGGTCTCCAGACTTGGAAAGCTGTAAGTTAATTTTAACTTTTGAGAATTTTGATCGGCTGCCATTTTTTACTGGATTGAGATAAAGACCTCTAGTATGCGTTGTTGGGTTTCTTTTACCAGGACCTTCAAAATGAGGGGTCACTCGATGGGTCTTTATATTTGAAATTTTTTAGTTTCCCCCAAAATCCCCCATTTTGGGGATGTACACCAAGTGACGGTTATGCCCAAAAGGTACTTCATAACATGTCATAAAGATGTGTCGAGTTTAATCTTTCTAGTATGGGCCGTTAAAAAAATAACAGGGGGTCTCCACACTTTTTCTAACCCTGTATATATATATATAGAAAAAAAACAATGTGATGTGCAAGTTATGTTAAGTTAATCTAACACATGTTAAGCAGTTAGAATTTATTTAAAGTAGCCTCCAAATTCATATAAAACATCTATACATTGTAATTTTCATACTGTTTCTATGAAATGATATAAATAATATTATTTTCATAACTTAGACGCTTTAAATAATCCAAAGCAGAGCCGGAGTTGATACCAGGAGTTGATACAGCAACGGTTATAGAATCTTTTTTTTATATAATCATTGACATAGTTTTAGAATAAATAATCCATGATAAAAGGTTAGATTAAAATAAACCTACCTCATAGTTATGGAAAATATTATATTTAATTTCTTTGTATCAGCTGTCTGAAGTTGTGAAATATGCAGTTTAGCAGTTCTTCTTGTTTACATTTAAATGTCAAAGCAAACATTGTTAGTGTTCTCATCACAGCCATGGAGACCAATCAATATTTACTTTTAAATTCTTCACATCAGAACTTTTAAAGCCAAAGGGGCAAAGCCTACAGTCAGTATCAAAATGTGAATATTCCTATAATGGTCCTTGGTATGGTAACTATATTTTTGTAAAATTTTAGCTCAGTTGGTTCAGTAGTTTTTGCACCTATTAGTAATACACATACAGACAGACACCATTAGATTTTTATATAATAGTATAGATTTTTAATTCCATATGAAACGATACCAAGTTCAAAATGATCAAATAATAATAAGCTGAAATATTAATTTTTAGTTGTATACTGGGGAAAACCTGACTAGCTTAGACTATTTCTACCCCATTTTACAACTAAAAGTTGCAATATTTCGGCTATTTCTTGATCTTTTTGACCATGGTATAACAGTTAATAGGGAATTAAAAATACTAAATAAAAGTGTTCAATAATTTTTTTCATAAAATCAGCCATTTTGTAGTAATTTAAGTTTAAAAATTAAAATGGCCGCCATTTTGAAATTTAAGTTTAATCATGATGAAATTTTATTCTAACAAGGGTCTCTTCTACAGTTCCATAGAGATCGGTTGGAAAAATTCAAAGAAAAAATGTTTATCTTAAAAATACAAAATGACTCCTGATTTTCTCTTTATTTTGACCCAAATTCAAATTGTATTATATTCAGTGTTATTTTAAAAGTAGTCTTCTTTCCTTAAAAACCATCCAAATCTAAAATTAACTCGTTCATAATGGAAATGCTAAGTCTACACATGTCTTTACAATCTATGTACTTAAAATAGAAAACCTCTCTCACAAAACCATTATTTCTTGGTGTAAAGGTTCAACTGGTGACGTAATGACTATTTATTATTTTGTGACGTTATGACTTGTTTCCTCTATGTAGTGATTCTTGTAACTGTGCAATTTTGACTGGACTGACAATTATACCTGTTTAGTAGCTACAATTATGACTAACATTAATGTGACAGTAAAGAGATATTTATTTAAAGGTCTGATCTTGCTTGGAACAAACTACACTAGACAACGGAGCGTTGGAGAAGTGACTGCTCAAGTTCCTGTCTCTTGTAGAGGAGGTGACTGGCAACCCTGCATGCTCCATGTTTAACATCATTCTCACGCAGAGATATATTTGTTGTGTGCAGGTGTAAGGGTCTGATCCTGCTAGAGACATACTATGCACTAGACAACGGGGCGTTGGAGAAGTGTCTACTCAAGTTCCTGTCTCTTGTTGAGGAGGTGACTGGCAACCCTGCATACTCCATGTTTAACATCATTCTCATGCAGAGATATATTTGTTGTGTGCAGGTGTAAGGGTCTGATCCTGCTAGAGACATACTATGCACTAGACAACGGGGCGTTGGAGAAGTGTCTACTCAAGTTCCTGTCTCTTGTTGAGGAGGTGACTGGCAACCCTGCATACTCCATGTTTAACATCATTCTCATGCAGAGATATATTTGTTGTGTGCAGGTGTAAGGGTCTGATCCTGCTAGAGACATACTATGCACTAGACAACGGGGCGTTGGAGAAGTGTCTACTCAAGTTCCTGTCTCTTGTTGAGGAGGTGACTGGCAACCCTGCATACTCGATGTTTAACATCATTCTCATGCAGAGATATATTTGTTGTGTGCAGGTGTAAGGGTCTGATCCTGCTAGAGACATACTATGCACTAGACAACGGGGCGTTGGAGAAGTGTCTGCTCAAGTTCCTGTCTCTTGTTGAGGAGGTTACTGGCAACCCTGCATACTCCATGTTTAACATCATTCTCATACAGAGACATATTTGTTGTGTGCAGGTGTAAGGGTCTGATCCTGCTAGAAACATACTCTGCACTAGACAACGGAGCGTTGGAGAAGTGTATGCCCAAGTTCCTGTGTACTCCATGGTCAACATCATTCTCATACAGAGACATATTTGTTGTGTGCAAGTGTAAGGGGCTGATCCTGCTAGAGACATACTCTGCACTAGACAACGGAGCATTGGAGAAGTGTCTGCTCAAGTTCCTGTGTACTCCATGGTCAACATCATTCTCATACAGAGACATATTTGTTGTGTGCAGGTGTAAGGGTCTGATCCTGCTAGAGACAAACTCTACACTAGACAACGGAGTGTTGGAGAAGTGTATGCCCAAGTTCCTGTGTACTCCATGGTCAACATCATTCTCATACAGAGACATATTTGTTGTGTGCAGGTGTAAGGGTCTGATCCTGCTAGAGACAAACTCTACACTAGACAACGGAGCGTTGGAGAAGTGTATGCCCAAGTTCCTGTGTACTCCATGGTCAACATCATTCTCATACAGAGACATATTTGTTGTGTGCAGGTGTAAGGGGCTGATCCTGCTAAAGACATACTCTGCACTAGACAACGGAGTGTTGGAGAAGTGTCGGCCCAAGTTCCTGTGTACTCCATGATCAACGTCATTCTCATACAGAGACATATTTGTTGTGTGCAGGTGTAAGGGTCTGATCCTGCTAGAGACAAACTCTACACTAGACAACGGAGCGGTTGAGAAGTGTTTGCTCAAGTTCCTGTCTCTTGTAGAGGAGGTGACTGGCAACCCAGCATACTCCATGTTTAACATCATTCTCATACAGAGACATATTTGTTGTGTGCAGGTGTAAGGGTCTGATCCTGCTAGAAACATACTCTGCACTAGACAACGGAGCGTTGGAGAAGTGTCTGCCCAAGTTCCTGTCTCTTGTAGAGGAGGTGACTGGCAACCCAGCATACTCTATGTTTAACCTCTCCCTCCGCGAGGACTGGGACACCACCACCAAGTTCTGCAGAGCTTTCCAAGGTATCCACAGGGACGTGTGTAAGAACTGGCGTTAGAAGTGAACAACTGTTGACCAGGTATACGTGATACAACGTACGACTGCTTGCTCGGGGAGTCCGATCATTGTACGGCTATTGGCGAGCATCATCTGGTCATCGCATGGTGGTTATGATTTGTAGATTAAACTAGCCTTTTTTACATCTTAGAAGTTGGAGATTACAGAAATTATTATAGTTCCATTATTGAATGAATGACAGGAGTACACTATCTTTTTTTCTTATTTTTTTATAATAGCTTTGGAATTAAATGAATTAAATCTTAAGTTATGTACCTGAACCATACCCAGTTGATGAAACTTCTATGATGACATATCACAGATCAGGTCCGTGATAAAGTCGAAGATAGGCAGTGTCATGAACCCCTCCCATCCAGGAGAATGCTGCTTTTAATAGTTAATTCCTTTATTTCATTAACTTTTGAGCATATTTAACAATAAATAATTGTTTTTGAGCTTTTAAACCCATCTCTTGAAACCCTGTAACAATAGAAGGGATCACATTGTAACGGGGAAGTCCTTGGCAATGCTGTGCCAACACTATTTTTGCAACTGAAAATATTTTGAGTCGTAAACATCTCTTTTAATTGGAGATTTAACTCAACAGGAGCCACTCGGCTATTAATCAATATCAAAACAAGCGTATAGATGTGTTAGTAGCGTGTTGCTTGATAATGATAAGTATGAGTAAGTACTTACTTGATAATTGGAAGTCTCCTGCAGGAAGCACTGTTGTGCTGTGGTCGTAATTTTGTTGTTGGCCCAATCATTAAAAAACTCTCACAGAGTAGTAAGGCATCTTAAAAATATTTTAAAATCTTGTTGTAAAACCTTCCTCATCTTAAAATACTTCTTATTTCAATTGATATCTTGTTAAATACTATTATAAACAATCATCCTGGTCCTCTTTTTGCTAGGCTGGATAATACATGTGGTTGGCCTACATGTAGATCCAATGAGGGTGAATCAGTTGCAATGTGAAGTATCTGACCATACTCACACAGGATGAAAATAATATTTAAAAATATTGATTTCCCAGTCATTAGTTGCTCTGCGCAAGATAAATAGTGAATATGGGTGTGCAACACTCTTTTAAACATATGTCAAATTACTTAATTGCGATTCGCTACATGTTGTTGGAATATGGATCATGTTTTTGGAACATCCATGCAATAGTTGACCTAACAACCACCCTATTCATCAAAACCCCAATTTACTTAGTAAATTGCAAAATAAAAATATTTAATTTGCTACAATGAGTAAATTGTTATTTCAAATTAAAATATTTGTCTACAAAAATTTGGCTTTTTGGCTAAACTTAAAATCAACAAGAAAATTAAACATACTTAACTGTTGCCAACATTCAAAACCCAGATTGTTTTAGCGCAAAACATAGTTCATAATCTCATTTTCATATCCATTAGTCCTTCATGTCACATTTATTAGTATTTCCTTTTTTTTTTATCAACTTCTTACAATGGAATCTTAATCTTGATCAATCAAACTTCAATAAATCTAAATAACAAGCTTATTTTTTCTTACTTACAACTGTTTTGTACCTTCAAATAATGATGTGCTATTCAATGTTTAATAGGGAATTCAAAATGCTAAGTGTTCTTGACATTTTTTCATAAAATCAGCCATATTTTAGTAATTTAAGTTTCAAAGTTTTAAATGGCGGCCAATTCGTTAAATTAAAAGACGATTACATGCTGTCATTATTTTTTTTATTGCCTCTTGACACAATAAATGTAGGCCTATATGCAAAGTTTGGTTTCCGTAGTCTGAATAATTCATGAGATATAATTAAAGTGTTTTGTAAAAAATACAAAATGGTGGCTAGCGGCTATTTGAATTTTTTTCAACCTATGTTTATATGAACTTTATTGTTTAGATTGATTAGTACAGTAGCATCCCGTTAGTCCGAAATGGTTTGGACCGGGCCCATTTCGGATTACCGAATATTTCGTATTAAAAGTTTTTTTTTAATAAAAAAAAATTTTAATTTTTAAAATTTTTTTCGTCTTAGGCTAGACCTAGTGGATGCAGCATTATCACTTCATAAAATCCATTTGTGATTTAGAGGACGAAAATAAAAAATGTTAATAACAAAAATGGTGAAATGTTTACTAAAATACTCTACAAAAAAGTCTATCTCGCCCGGCCGCTACAGAATACTTTGACAAGGTACAGCTAAGTGTGTTAAAAGTTAAATAAAAAAAAAATAATTTTAAAAAAATTTAATTTTTTTTATAAAAAAAATATAAAAAATGTATTTTTTTGTTTCGGATTAAGCGGACTTTCGGATTACCAAAGTTCGGATTATCAGGACTCCACTGTAGTATCAGTCCCTGAAGTTTGTGACACCCCTTTATGAACATTCTGTATGTATATATAAATTTATGAATTTGAATGGATGGTAATTTTAGCCTCTGGGGACATCAAAACTAAAAATCAAATTGGTCCCGGGCCTAGGTATTACCATGAGACCTACGGTAATAGCTTATTCCCTATATGCGAAATTCGCTAACAGGAGAAGAAAGAATATCTAGACAGTGTAATTTACAGTTTTCTTTCTTGCCCATAACTTGTTTTGTTATATGTTTTAAGCCACACAATTTCCTACACATAAACTATTTATTACTACCTTTTAGCGAATTTTCCCATATAGGGAATAAGCTATTACCGTAGTTCTCATGGTAAGACCTGGACGCGGGACCGATTTTTTTTTTCGTTTCGAGGTCCCTAGAGACCAAAAACACCATCCGTTCAAATTCATTTATATATATATATTTATATATTTATATATTTATATATATATATATATATATAAAGGGTGCGCCAAAATAACTTGACGGTTTTTAATACTAAATAACTCAAGAACAAACTACAATTTCATGTATTAAATAACGTTATATTGTACGCACTACTATGCCATTTTCATTTATGAAAAATTATATCACTCAGTTTATATCGCCTTCTGCTAAACACAGGCATCCCATTTTTTTGTATATTTGCAGTCACCTTCGCCTGATGAATAGAAGCAATCTCTTCCCTGATACACTGCTTGAGTTCAGGGATGGTTTGAAATTTCGAAACAAACATTTTGCTTTTTAAGTATCCCCACAGCTAACAGTCACACAAAATTAAGTCTGGGGATCGAGCTGGCCACAGCACATCACCCAACCATGAGATCACTTTACCGGCAAAGAGTTCACGCAAAACTGACATTGAATAATTGGCTGTATGACAAGTTGCGCCGTCCTGTTGAAACCACGTGTTAGTCATGTCTATACCTCATAACATCCGCAGTTGTGGAACCAAAAACCCCCTCAGTATTTCCAAATAGCGTTCCGAGTTCACAGTGACAGGGGGGTGTTCCCACTTTCGTCCTCAAAAACATATGGTCCGATGACTACAAACAGTGCCACACCACACTGCACCACACTAGACAGTAACTTTCTTTTGACGACGTGATGTTTTACCAAACATAACCTAAAAATGGCATAACCTAAGCAATCGTTCACTACAACAATGAGGTCTCTAGCTAGTATAACAGCTGACTTATTACAAAACAGAAACCGTCAGGTTTTTTTGGCGCACCCTTTATATATATATATATGTGTCCGTTAGCACGATAACTCGAGCAAAAATGATCCGATTTTGATGAAATTCGGTACAAACGTGTAAACCTACGTTTATTCGAACGAGTTCGCGATCCAGCATGATCGGACCATGGGAACGGGGGTTTACGGGGGGTTTTATGGGGTAAAAATAGGTTTTTCGCATTTTTGACCCAAAAAAACATAAAATTTAGCAATTTCTTTCCAAACCATTTTGTAGAGCTTAAAAAAACAAATAATTTAGTATATTGAAGCGTTATTATGCGCCTAATGGTTACGGAGAAAATTCCAAAAAATTGTAATCTTAAAATTCCCATGTTATTCTTATGGAGAATAAGTAAACTGTTGTAGTTTGCTTGTTTATGGACATATTTTGATCAAATTTGAAAAATGTTTTTATTTCTTACTAACTATTAACATTAAAAAAAAAACAGTTTTACCTCCCTGATGCAGGAAACCTAAGTACTTGTTAAACTAATTCTATTTCAATCGGGAATAAATGTTATATTTTTAAGTAGACATTTCAGTGTAAATCAAATTGAAATTCGCTTAGTCTGCAGGTTTGCTGCGGCGGGGGTATTTTTAATTTTTCAAATTATTAAAGTACACGCTTTATAAGTTTCAGTTGTACATTTTTATTGTTTACAGATTGTGAAACAAATTCATTAAAACTTAAGAGTTTACTTCAGATTCAGATTCTTAATTCGTCACAATATATTTTCCTCCCTGTCACAGCTGGTAAAACGGGTGACATGTCAACATCTTAAAAAACAAAAAGCAAAAAATGCATGATAAATTTTTTTTGGCAAAAACTTAATCGAATGCATTAATTTTATATACATACTAGCTGACCCGGCGAACTTCGTATCGCCTAAGTTATAGGTTTCCCCTAAGACAGACCGATGGAAAGAAGTACCGTTACGTTTAATTTTCAAGATGATCTCGTTCGCATCGCTCAATCACGTCCTGGTTGAAGTTCGTTCACTACGCTCACTCGCCTCCAGGTTGAAGTTCGTTCGCTACGCTCACTCACCTTTTGGTTGCAAATTAGCTGTTGTCATAAATGTAAAAGAAATAATAGTGCTGCACCCTGTTGGTAATCCTTGTAACTTTAATGCTATTGAACATCATAGAACAGAACCAACTTGTTTAATTGAAACAGCTGTTAAGATTCATTAATTCCATTTCTCATAAGGTTAACATGGGAAACTCCAGAGCCACTGGGGCGGAGCCCTTTTAAGAATTTCGAAACGGGAAATAGTTTACGGCCGATTCGCATACCTACAGAATTTACACACCAAATTTCATAACGATCGGTGAAGTCGTTCCGGAGGAGTTTGCAGACAAACACTGTGACACGAGAATTTTATATATTAGATTTACATCATATTAAAAATTGTCACATAAGAAATCATTTATACAGTTGAACCTCTATAAGACGAATTTCAAGGGGTACAGGAAAAATTCATACTATAGAGGTATTGTTAATAAAGAGGGTCGTTTTATCGAGGTTTAATGCTGCTGTTATTCTTCTTATAGAGGTTTCTCCTCGCTCCAAGGTTTCTCCAAACAATGACTGAGGAAGGAGGAGGGATGGGTGGGTTTTTCATGTTGAGACAAGCTTCTGTTTGTTTTGAAAACTACGTACTATGGAGGTTAAGATTATGATAAATTCGTCTTATAGAGGTCACGTTCGTCTTGTAGAGGTTTTGTGCTAAGAATATTCGTTGTATAGAGGTTAATCAGTCCTAGCCCATGTCACAAACAAATTCGTCTTATGGAGGTTATTAACTTAATTACTACGTTGTATAGAGGTGTTTTTAGCATTGACCTATATGAAAATGTCAAGGGGATTAAAAAAATTTGTCTTATCGAGGTTCGTACAAACGAGGTTCAACTGTACAATTTTCTCTTATTATACTTATTTTCTCATCTGCAATTTAAAACTCAGACTATAAAAAAATTGATTGATCAATATTTTACTGTTCATTAGGATTTGATTTATCAAGGCTGCAATGCCATATTGCAGTAATCAGTAGAATTTGCTATTAGTTGTTAGTAGTTATCATTTGAAGCATTTTCATCAATCATGACACAATCCATCACATGTTTTAAACTTATTGAATCTTGATGCTGCTTAAGACCTTAAAAGAATATTTATTTATGACTTATCTTGTTAGTCCAGTCAAACTAAGCCAAATTACCCTTAAATCTGGGCAAAATTGCTTCAAAAGCGATTAAGTGGTAATCAACACAGAAAATGATGCTTTATAACATATCCAAAATCCGACCATGGGAAATTACTAAAAAATCTAATTCAAAATGGCGGCAACATTTCAAATTGTTGTGACATTTGTTTTAAGACTTTTGGCGGTATGGGATAGTGGGAAAGCACATTTACATAAATTAAATATCAGATTGGATGTTGAAATATCAAATAAATAGGAAGAATAGACTAATTAAAACGACAATGGCATTTTTGTATGTACATTTTAGTTTCCATGGTTACTAAAAAATAACTAAATTTAATAAGTTTTCTTGGACAAACTATTCATTTGAATAACTGTTATCATTTTGTTTCAATGTTCTTACATTCATTGATCTGGCACTCCCCTCAAGAAGCAGAACAAGACAGTCCGTTCTGTTTACACCACAGTTGCGCAATGGGTCATAAAAGAAGAATGGACCATTTTCAATAATCACTCTAGGGTTGGCGGTATATCAGATACTGTACGGTAGTACGAGTTTTTCACCAAGAAGGACATTATTCTTAGACGTTTGAACAAATATGTGAAAAATTAACTATTATAGGAAACAGTAAACATGAATACTATAGTATGAAACAGTAAACATATCAAAGCAGGCAATGCAAAAAGACTACAAAACAAAAAGTCGTACCACCATACATTTCTTATGGACGTTTCGTAGTTTGATCATTTTTTAAGAAAATTTTTTCTTATATCTCCAGTTTTACTAGCGCTTGCAGTTTGTTCTAGCCTTAAAATATTCTGTGATAAATGGGTTTACATTTGAGCTATTGATCATTAAAATCGGATGATTTAGAAACGAGCTACGAACCCTATCACAATATTAAATTTTACTTTTTAGATACAAGTTTTTATTAAAAGATGTATATCTCGGGTTGTTAATATGTCACCAAGTTCATTCTAGTCTCAAATTATTCAGGGAATCTTTGGCTTTAATTTTATTAACCATTTAATAAAATCTGATGAATTTTAATTCAGTCATGAATCTTTATTTAAAAGTAGATTATTTGTTTTTCAAAATTTGTCTTTAGTTTTAGACATATATCTCCAATTCTAAATAACTCCCAAAAATCTTTACAGTCTTAAATAAATAGTAACATTATAGACTTTTGTTTTAGCTATGGATTACTTTTTGGGAGTTATTAGAATTGGGGATAAATGTCGTAAACTAAAGACAAATTTTGTAAAAGAAATAATTTATTGTTAAATAAAGATTTATGACTCATTTTAAATTTGTCAGATGTTATTAAGTGATACATAAAATTAAAGCCAAACATCCACTGAGTAATTTGAGACAAGAAAGAACTTGGTGACATTAGCAACCCGAGACATACATCTTTTAATAAAAACTTGTATCTAAAAAGTTAAATTTAATATTGTGTTAGGGTTTGTAGCTCGTCTATAACACGTCCGATTTTAATGATCAATAGCTCAAATGAAAACACTTTTATCACCGAATATTTTAAGGCTAGAACAAACTGCAAGCGTTAGTAATAACTGGAGATAAAAGAAAAATTCTCTTAAAAAATGTTCAAACTACGTAACGTCCATAAGAAATGTATGAGGAAGAATTTTCGTTTGAATATATCTTCAATATGGCGGATCCAATATGGCAGATCCAAGATGGTGGCCAAAATGCGTTCCCTATCAAAATAAAGGACTAACACACAATAAATATCGGTGGTAATCTTAAGTGAATATCTCAAAAATATGCATAAAAATGCATCTTTTTTTATGTGTCCAGTGTTGGGGATAACCGCCATTTTTTAATCGTCATTTGAGGGGGTTTCCTGTAGATAGATTTTTGGCAACTTTTAGTACGTCACTCTGCACACTCAACACTATACCAAAAAAAACCATACAATGTTTTCTTGCATTGTTTTAAGGCCATATCCCATATTCATCTGACTATTGGTGTTTTAAAATAAATGACTCTTAAGAAAAATAGCCGCCATTATAAAATTTATTTTTAGACACTTTTCCATGGTCGGATTTTGGATATGTTGTAAAGTAACATTTGTTGAGTCGAATACCACTTCAATGGCTTATGAAGCAACAAGCAATTTTGCCCAGGTCAAATCATAATTTTAGTAAACTATGTGTACTAGTTGGTTTAGTTAATTGTAAAATAAATAAAACACTTAGATGTTTAAAATGTAATCTGTTAATCTTACTAGCCTTCATTTCGGTGATCTCTTATTTCGACATAGGGAAATTCATGACCTAAGATGTAACATCATAATCCCTTTTTATGGTAATTTTCTAAATTGCAATATATTTATTGCATACCCAGGAACTACAATTTTTGGTAAAAACAAAAAAAACCAGTAATAAAAAAAATATTTAATAAATTTAATTTCTGTTAAAATTAAAGGTTGTCAAAATATTAAATATTTTTCAATCTCGAGACGATCTAATGTAATGTAATCATAATCTGATATTTTGGCACAAGTAGAAATTAAATAACTCGTCAAATCACTGCTGTTTTAGTTGGTTGGGGGTTTAATGGTTGATGTATTGTTTGTATATGTAAATTTTACCTACAGGTGATGAAAAGGAGAAAATCAAGATAAACAACAATGAGAGCAGTGCTCCTTTAGCAAGTCATGTAAATGGAAAATCGTCAGAGTCAACAGTCAATGGAGGACTCTAACCTGGTACTTAGAGCTGTGACTGAACCTTATCTACTTAATAAACACACCAAATTATGTTTCAACTAAAATCTGTTTGCATTTATTTAATTACCTACATAGATGGTGTCAATTAGAGTAAGAGACAAGAGAGGTACGCAGGATACACATGCACACAAGAACCTTCCCTCAGCACTGTCAACAGTAATTACCTACATAGATGGTGTCAATTAGAGTAAGAGACAAGAGAGGTACACAGGATACACATGCACACAAGAACCTTCCCTCAGCACTGTCAACAATAATTACCTACATAGATGGTGTCAATTAGAGTAACAGACAAGAGAGGTACGCAGGATACACATGCACACAAGAACCTTCCCTCAGCACTGTCAACAATAATTACCTACATACAGTAGACCCCCTCTTAACCGACCCTAATGGGACCGGACCTAGGTCGGATACCTAAAAGGTCGGATAAAACAAACAATCCCTAAAATCATAACATAATTAAGTGCTATTGATTTCGAATTATATAATCATTATTTTGAAATCATACTTGCATTATTTAAAAAATTAACTACTCTTATCTCTTTTTTCGTATTGATAGAAAGGTCACAAATAAACACAAAACACGGTTAAGTCAAATAGGCCTACTTTCAGTGGAATATAATGTAATACTAGGCAAGAGTCAATCAAATTCCTATTTTAATAACTTTAGTAGGTACTGTAATTTATTAATTGATGCTTTCCAAATCCATCGTAAAACAGTACAGAACCTTTTTTTTCAAAAGATACAAGCAACCATATTGTTACAAGACAGGACGTTTATTTATAGCCTCTCACTGGAGGCTCGAGGCACAAAAACTATCTTGACCTTGGAGTTGTTAACCCCCCTTCCCTGCCTTCCCTACAAGTTGCGTTGTTTGTTTACTCCAGCGATAAGATAATCAGTTCTCAAAATCGTAACGCACTTAATGATGTTATAAATTTGCCGCACAGATAACAAACAGATCAGATGCGCTCGAACTACGAACGATGATGACAAACTGACAATAGGCTGTTCTATATTTTTTGTGATCAACACAAAATAACTTATTCTTAGTCATATCCTGTGGAGATAAGCGTATGGTTCAGTTCTCATCGCCCAGCGTGGGAGCGGAAATGCCGAGATTCCTAGAAAGCGGCGGTTAAACCGAGCTGCTCTCAAAGCAAGGTCGGTTAAAACAAACTGTATTATTTTACGATCGAAGGCGGATAATCCGATTATCGGTTAATACGAGGTCGGTTAAGAGGGGGTCTACTGTAGATGGTTTCAATTAGAGTAAGAGACAAGAGAGGTACGCAGGATACACATGCACACAAGAACCTTCCCTCAGCACTGTCAACAATAAATTACCTACATAGATGGTTTCAATTAGAGTAAGAGACAAGAGAGGTACGCAGGATACACATGCACACAAGAACCTTCCCTCAGCACTGTCAACAATAATTACCGGTACTGTTGGATTAATACCACTAGCCTCTAGTGGTGTGACTCACGTTTTTATGTTTAAATACTCTAGCAAAGAATCTACATATTTACTTTGTCTTTGTCCAGATCTATTGATAATAAGTAGTATCTCAGTTTCAATATGTGATTAAAGAATCAGATTCTTCATTCCTATCTACAATGCTCACGGCAATATACTTCTAACAATAATCATAATTAAAGATATTGCTCATTGAAATAAGTTTATGTTTATGGTCGTCGGTTTTCAAGCTGTGCACACACAATGTTTTCGTGTATTCGTGTGTACGTCCTGTGCTTATATGTGTATTATTTATTCAACCCCTGACGCAATGCAAATGAAGAAAGTTCGTGTTAAATGTGACAAGACTCTAGTTTAGTGTACCAACACGCACCTGATGATGGAGTCATCTCCGAAACGGCCGTAGTGGAATATTACCCCTGATTGCATTGACGGCAAGAACCACAGATATTATTATTATATTTTCACGCAATCTGCCGCACTCAAGAATATGTTTATAACAGTGTAAAAAATTGTTTAGTTGTGTTCTTACAAGTTGTTCTTGCCAGTTCTCAACAAGTATTAGTGTGATGTGCAATACAGTATCTACTCAACAAAGTGCTGAAAAAGTATACAGAAATGATGATAACTATCAATTATCAATTCTTTGAGACAGTGACGCACACTTGTGCATATTTTAAGCTAAATATGGTCGTCGTGTAATCCAGCTACTAGGAGGTCACAAATTGTGGGTATTTGTAGGAATGCACTGTGGATGCGATGCTCCCTGCTGTGGAATAACGTCCGCACTAGTGAGTACTACGACTATCCGCAGTACTATCCAGATAATTAGACCAATTCGTTAATACCAAGGCAAAATTTGGTTCGGATTCCACTATAAAACGTAGGTCCCATATTTTCCATTGGCTGTATGGGCTATTAATAAACAGCTGTGTCTAAGGAATATGTCAGCCTTAGTCACTAACAAGACTACAAGATCGTACCACTCATCTTAATTCATAGTTGGCTTAAAATACCTACTTTGTATGGTCGCCATTTACATTAAAAGTATCAAAGTATTAACGCAATGTGAGTGTACAATGGAGTGAGATTATCTGTGTAGCTTCGTTACTGACTAAGATTAGCTGTTTCATAAACCAATACCATTTATCTCCACTTCATTGGTAGAAGAAACTGTCTGTTTGTTCTGTTTGTTACATTGGCGACATATTCAAATGGTTAATAGAGTCTGAAAGGTATTTTATCAGAATTCAGATTTATTGATACAATAGTTATTTGTGCAACTAGTGAGCAAAGTGAGCAATTGACTCACTCGAGAGAAATCCTTACTCATGAGGCTTAGGCGAGTGAGGAATGATTTCTCGAGTGAGGCAATTGCACTTTGCACTCGAGTTGCACATTATATTTTTCCTACAGTTACAATAAAACAAATAAATTATTAAAGAAACGTGACATATTTTTACACAGAAGTGAACTTTTAATATGACATTTAATGATCAACACGATCAACAACAGTACAACAGCTGACCAGCTGATTTACGGCCAGTGCTGCCAACGTATTTCGCGCGCATACGACCTTGTCTGCATGTTACGCGCTTACTATTTCGTGCCTTCACGTTGCAAATCTGGAGTGAGACAAAGTAATTAGAGTGAGACAATGTGAGACAATACAAACAGCAGAGGGCCAAGGATTGACCCCTGAGGCACACCACAAGTAACTGTCTCCCAGTCAGATCTTACGTCATCAACCACAACACATTGCCGCCTGCCTGACAGATAGGATCCCAGCGAGTCCAATACACCATTTGAAAACCCTATGGCCCTTAACTTTTCCAGAAGAAGATTATGATTTACGCAGTCAAAAGCTTTCGAAAAATCAAATAGTGTTAGAATTGTACCCTGCCGACGTTCCATTGCTCGTCTAATGTCCGTCACACGTAATAGTGCTGTTTCTGTGCTGTGAGTCGTTTGAAAATCAGACTGAAAGCTGCAAAGTATGTTGTTGTCAGTCAGAAATTCCGTCATTTGGCAGTGCACAATTCTTTCAAGGCCTTTTGATAATGCGGGCAATATACTGATCGGCCTGAAATCCTGGCAAGATGCCGTGGCTGGGATCTTATTTAATGGACGAATAAGGGCAGACTTCCAAGAAATAAGGAAAACGCTTTGCCTTAGAGATGTGTTGAAAATGCATGTGACAGTTGGGAGTATAGCAAAGAGAATGTCTTTTATAAAACGAATTGGAATGCCATCCGATCCGACAAATTGCGTTAAGAACATCTGACTGCACTACAGGTCTGAAAGTAAACTTAGGATGTCTTAGGTCCTGATCAGGGGGGTTTCTGAATTCGTTGATGTAATTTACAACATGTTGTTGGTCGATACTTTGACCATATGAAGAGAAGAAAGCGTTTAAGAGGGTTCCCTACCCCCGCCGAAAAACGTCAGAAAACCGCTTCGTGCGGTATCATATAGCAATTCTAGTTTTAACATTTAAATTGTGAACCAAACACCATTTTGTATATAAAGAGTGGTTCTACTAAGTTTGCTTTTTAAAAAATGTCTATGCTTACGCAATCAAGGGCAACGACTTGTCAAAGTTAGTGAACTTTACAGTTAAATAATATCTTTTTATGAAATTATCGATTTATAAAGCAATATTAGTGCGAAATTTAACTAAAAATATCAAGTCACTTTTAGTTTCAAGAAAAGATTATTTTTTGTATGTGCAAAATGAAAGCGCGTAAAACCTTGCACGGCGAAAAGTGCTATGATTCTGACGGACTCTAGCGGCCTTTATCGAAACTACTGTCTCACGGAGGGATACAAATTTTACACATTCCTCATCATTCATAATATTTCCCCCAAGATTTATCCATGACACATAATAACATTATATTAATTATTATAAACCAGTTAAGCAGTATAAATAAATACAGCCAAGAACCTGTTGATAATATAAAAACGTTCAGTCATATAGGTTGTAGCATACTTGTGAAACAAAAACGTTTCAAATTAATATTTCATTTGAATAAATTAATCTTAGAACTGGAGCAAATAAGTTCCAAGCTGTAGCGTTTTTCAACCTTGCCAAATGCAAAACCTGTGCGACGACGCGCTGTGGTGTGATCCTAGGGCGGCAGGCGCGGCGCGGCAGAGGAATTCCCTAGAAATGTAGTGAAGGGTTGTAAAAAGGGTTGAATGAACGGCGTGAATAGGTTCAGGGAGGTAAGCTCGTTGTCACCAGTCGCCGAGGGTTGTAAATCAGAGAGAGGGAACTAGGGGAGAAAGTGAAAGTGAGTGCACTGCTGGGGCGGGTTTACTAGGATGGGCCTACTTCCACTGCGGAGGCGACACGACCAGCAGACAGCAATCCTAGGGAATATTTTGTCGTCTTGTAGTTCCAACTAAACTCACCAGGGTCGCAGAAAATTGAAAACAGTTCGAGGTAGGGAACCCCCTTAATTCATTGAGTGGGACATTTATTCTCTGTGGTTCAGACTGCTTCCCAAGCCCAAGACTTTTTACATTGCACCATAAAACCCTAGAGGATTGGTTTT